CCCTGTTGATGACGTCAGCTACGCGGTTTCGTCGAGCGCGCTTTAGTCGAACGCGGTTTTCTGGTGGAACCGTTTCTAGGGTGACCCTGCGGGCCACATCTAAGCGCCCGGCTGGCCGGATTTAAACCCCTGGCCCTGAGTTTGACACCCTTGGACCAGATCCGTGATGGCGAACCTATGGCAATTGTGCCACGAGTGGGGTGCGGGGCCATATCTGCCAGCACATGCGCCGTCAGCTGCAGCGCATATGCAAGTGCATATTCTTGGCCTTACGGAGGGCTGGAGGAGGCCGTCCGCAGGCTCCAGGAAAGCCCCTGGAGCCTGGAAAGGATGAAAAACAGGCCCAACGGCCCTACTGGAAACTCATTTCTGAATTTCCAGTAGCCCCGTTGGGCCTGTTTTTTGCTCTCCCTGGGCTCCGAAGGCTTTCCTGAAGCCTGGGGAGGGTGAAAATGGCTTCTCACGGCCCTCCAGAAGGCCGAAAATCAGCTTGCTGGTGTGCACTGGAGCTGCCAGCTCACGTACCAGCAGATATGGCTCTGCGTGCCATCTGTGACACGTGTGCCATAGACTCCAATAAGAATATTGTTTTTATTTGTTCCTTTGTTTAAAATCCAGATACGCTATATACGTTAATTAATTTGGGGGTTTGACCAGGGCTTATCTTACATAGCAACTTAGTGCAGTTTCTCCTCATTCTTCTATTGCTTTTGTTCCTCTAGAATATATTGCTGTATTCCAATAAGACTTATCTCAGAAAGTCCCTGATTATTGTCATATTTTTCTCCCTGTGATAAAATTGTTTACTTTCCATATTTTGTGTATTAGAATGTAGGTCTTAAGCTTTACAAACAACTTTTCCTAATTTTTCAATTTGTGATTTAACCACATCACTCACAGTTTCTTTTAAAATGCATACCTTTATTTGACATTCTAATTTCACTATTTTTCTGGAATCGCTTTAATGTCCTCCTGATCAAGTTTCTTATGCTTCAGTTCCACATATTTTAACTGTTTTATTTGCAATTATCTTAATTATTTGCCATTTATTTACTTGCAGTTTACTGCCATATTCAGTAGGGACTTATAAGAACATGAGAATAAGATTGTACCAAAAGTAATGAAACATTGGTTTAAAATTCTAAAGAAATTCTACAGCCATTAAAGTTGGTCCTGCCTTATTATCTCCTTTGTTTGATATTATACACAATTTCAAGAAGTAACAAATTCAATTTAAATCTAACTTTTGAAAGTAATATCCTGACGTTGATCAACTCAATCTGAGCTAACGTTGTTTGAGAGCTACCTTACGCCTCATCATGATTTTTGAAATGATTTGTTCAATGATGACACAAAACAAATTTGCACCCAAAGTTTGTATGCACTAGACTTTTCCCCCCTGTCAATCAATTCACCAGTCAGTAGGAGAGGTGCATATAAATGCACATGAAGCCAACTTGAGTGGATTTGATTCGTAAATGCTCTTAGGATAAATCTTCAAGTTTTATAAAGATGAATCCACAAATATTATAAGGCTAGATTAATGTTTGCTGATTTGATACATTCCAAATATGTTAAAGTCCTGTAATCTTATAATCAATACTGACGATGCTTAGTCTAAGATTATAGGAGTTTAAATCCAACATATATGGTGTCATTGGCTTGGGAGAGGCTGAAGTACAGACTGTTGGGGTGTCACAATCTTTTTTCATGCCTTTTTTTTCATGCCTTTTTTTTCAGTTGTGAATTTGCAGTTTCATGTTCAACTGGCAACAATGCATACTGCAAAGCCCAGGATGGTGGTCCCATATGGCCTCAAGACTCTACTTGAAGGAGTGAGCAGGGCAGTTCTCAAAGCTAGTCCTTCCAACATCACTGAGTTTGCTGCTGAGTATTTCAAAGAACTTATAGTTTTTCGAGAAGGTTTGTCTTTTCTTGTTTTAAAAGGTTAAATATTCACCAGTATAAGCAAACCAACAATCATCCAAACTATTGTGTCCTTATATTAGCTCTGATCTGGGGTGGGCTTCAAAAATGCCAGCAATTGATTCTTTGCCCGGTTGCTGGGTGGGCATGGCCATGGTGGGCATGGCCTAGTTGGCCGCCTGCATCATGGTGTGTGTGTGTGTGTTTTCGCCTTCCCTAGGTTCCGGAGGCTTTCCTTGAGCCTCTGGGAGGGTGAAAACTGCTTCCCCCAGGCTCTGGAGGCCCTCTGGAGGCCAGAAACGGGCCCGGGAGGTCCATTCCACCCCCTGCCCAAACCTCTGTGAGGGCCCTGCACTTACCTCACTTCCAAAATGGGCCACGTGGAGACTCTTGGGAAGGGAGGGGCTGGAGGGAAGGGGCAGAGTGGGTGGGGCCAGCCAGGAGTGGGATTTGGTGATTCTCTCAACCAGCCATAACATAGCTACAGGTTCTCCCAAACACAAGTGAACCCGTAGCAGCTTAGCCCTGTGGAAATGTGTTTCACATATCAGTTTTGTATGAGCAGAGATTTAGGTCCATAAATTGATTGTCTTTCTCCATCTTTTCTTTCCAGAACATCCTAATTTAGATATTAAAGAACTGGTGAGAGAATTTCATATGACAAGAGGTATGAGATTAGCACTAAAAATGATTTGTTGCTAGGGCCTGACTATATGTTATTTAATGTAACTTGTTTTCTTTTAAGGGGAGATTTTAAATAAAATATAAATGTGGTTGCTAAGGCTGTATTTGAAAGTGGAAGAGAAGGCTTTCTTCCCTGACATAGTTTTTACATTGAAAATCATCCATCCATCCTGGCTAAGATTATAAATCTGAAAAACCAAAGGTGACTTATATTTGTGTGAATTAAATATAACAAAGAAACCCCTAATTTAAAAAAAGATCAGCTGGGCAGTTGGTTGAAATAGCAGAAGTATGAAATTCTTGGTTCTATAGAACGAAGCCTAATGCTTCATACTTTTGTTCACTAAAACAAGACATGAGAGACAGATTGGGCAGACAGAGAATGTAATTTTAGTGTAGTCCAGGAATGTCCTGCGGATTGGAACAATTTATTGAGAGAATGTTGAAGGGTTGCTAAACAAAAGGAAAGATTTTGAGTTTCTACCAGGGCTGAGATTGTACCATATCACTATGGGAAAACTTTATATTCCTCATCAGTCTACAGTTATCTAGCTGGGACTTAGGGAGCTAGGATGATTAAAACAGGAAGGATGATAGATTGCTTTCATTTAGATTCCATTACTGTGCAGGGGGTCAAACTTTAATGCCTTGCTAGGCACCCTGCAAATCTAACACTCTGTGATTCTTCTGTTTCCTGTCTAAGTCTAAGCAGTTTTTGAAAGTCTCTAGCTATTCTGAATTTTTCATTTTGACTGCAGCTCTGAGGGCTCCCACATTTTTTGAAAACTAGTATTTTTACTTTAAGTAAGATTAGGTGAGTATCTGGCATCCTGTAAAATAGGGATACCAATCTTCCTTACCAAGAATGCCCCTGGATTCCATATGGGCCCCAGAGACATTCATCTGATACAAACATGTTTTAGCCACAACCACATGCAAATATGGCTTCTATCATGCATAGTGAAAAAAGACATTTTGTTTAACAGACTGGGATTAACACAAATTGATTTATATTGGTTGAACCCGATTGGCTAAGTATTTCCACCCCCCTCTACTTGCATCTTGCATATGGTTTACTAGGCATGAGGTTTGTACTAATTGGTTTTACATTAAATGATTCCAGCAATTTAGGTTAGCTAGATACCTGCATTTAATAAAGTAATACTAGCTTCAGACCGAGCAAGATTGATGGATGGAGATAAGATTGATGGATGGAGTAGCCTTAATATTGCTGTCCATGAAATACTCCACTCACAAATTGTGTTTGTGTGTGAGCAAACGGAGTAGGAGAAAGAAAGAGTTGTTCATGTTGTAATAGAACACAGTCTTTGTAGCTTAGCCCTGGTGAAGATATCTGTTCCATTGTTCTGCATCTTAATATAGCAATGTTATAATTTTTTTTTAAATGGCATATTTGGTAAAGAGTAAAGGTATGTTCCTTTACATATTTCTCTTTTTTAATTCAAATTTTTATTTTATTCAAGAAAATATTAAAATACAAAACTCCCCAAAAATTAAAAAATAGAAAAAAAGAAAAAAACCTAGCAAGACACTAGGAAAGCGCATTGTTTAAGAAAAAGAAAAGAAACTAACCCCCCCATTGAATACTGATTAATACGTTACTGCAAAATTAATTGATTAATTTTAATTAATCAATTAATTAAAATGAAACATGCCCAAAATATTTTAAACTACCAAATAAATCCATTTGCAAATACAGTCACTAACCTGTCATCTATATACTCTATTAATGACACTATACTTAACAGGAAGAACAATAATAATTAAGACAAGGTTAAAGTTTTAGAACCTTTGTTAACAAATAATTAATGTGAACAACTTGTAGAAAATTTTCCATGGTATCTTGTCTATCCCATATCATCCCAAAGGTTAATAGTAATTCATCAGTAATTACTAATATCATTTGTTTCTTAATGCAATTTCTTATCAATTTTCTGATTAAAGATAGTAAGTTCAGTCTTCAATGTTGATCTATTCTCCTAACAAATTTAACAAATAAAATTGCTTCTTGATTAAGTGTGATAAATCCATTTCCCCATTTCCCTCAATCCTCCTCGGGAAAGCCAATTTGCTTCTCCAGTCAGTGTAATTTCTGCTGTTGTAAAAGACTGCAGGCTTGAACTTCCAAGAGCTGTATGCCATCACCTCAGTTAGAATTCTAAGTCTGTGTAGGCCCAATTTCTTTCCGACAAATTAATTTGTTTCAAATTACATTCCTTTTTTTAAATTCTAATTCCAGAACAAAACGCCTCTGAATATTTTCCATAGCCATAATTTCACCAAACTATTTAAAGAAACTTTCAACTAAAGTTTGCATGATCAAATGGTCTCTTCAGCCAGCTCCGTTCTATGTCTATGTCTATTTCTATGTCTAGTTTAATAGAAAGAAGGACTAGGGGAGACATGATAGCAGTGTTCCAATATCTCAGGGATTCCACAAAGAAGAGGGAGTCAAACTATTCTCCAGGGCACCTGAGGGCAGGACAAGAAGCAACGGGTGGAAACTAATCAAGGAGAGAAGCAACTTAGAACTGAGGAGAAATTTCCTGACAGTTAGAACAATTAATCAGTGGAACAACTTGCCTCCAGAAGTTGTGAATGCCCCAACACTGGAAGTCTTTAAGAAGATGTTGGATAGCCATTTGTCTGAAACGGTATAGGGTTTCCTGCCTAGGCAGTGGGTTGGACTAGAAGACCTCCAAGGTCCCTTCCAACTCTGCTATTGTATTGTATTGTTCACATATAATTTGATTCACTGTTGTTCTGTGTAAAGTTAACCTGAAAAGAAAAAACACTAAAGCAGACTTGCCAAAGTGGCAGCCTGCAGGCCAGATGAGTGACATGCAGACCATGCCCACCTTGGGTCCACAAAGGCAAAAACCATTGTGATATGTTACGTGATATATTATGTGATGCGATCAAGTTTGACACCCATGCACTAAAGCAAAATGAAGGGAGAAAAAATTAAAGGCACAGGAAAGATATTTTCTGGATAATGTCGATCCAAAGTTAAAAGAAAAATTAAAAAAATAAGCTCCAAATATTTTGCGAGTTAATAAAGTACAAAACTACTGTGGTCTAATATTGATATAAATCAAATAAAAGCACTTCACCATCCAAGAACATGCTGTGTGTTCATATAGAAAAGCCAAAATATTCAAAGCACAACATAAATCAAAAGGGAAAGGGAAAAACCCCCCAGATAAAATCCAGCAATGGATCAAAGTAGTTCAGTATTCAATCAGTTCTTTTCACTTCTTTGCACATATTTCATTTCATTTCTCAGCTCTGTACACTGCACGTATTCTCTTTTCTTGAGTACTGTACTAGTGACAGCTGTCAGGTTACCACAATATGCCAGGCAAAAATACATTTGTGACTTGAGATAACACTATTGACACAGTATGCCTACTCACAACTTTTGGTTACGATTACCCAATCTAACATTTCTGGATTTGCACACTACACCAAGCCTAAATGAACCAAAAATAGCTTGGTGATATGACAAGCTAAGCTAGTTTGTGGTCTGTTGTGCCATGCAAAAAAAGCATCTGTGATCTTCAATTTGTCTTTCACTCTATTTCTGCTAGAAATTCCTGGATATTTTTACTGCAGTCTGTATAATGTAGCTTAAATTAAAAAAATGTTTTGCGGTTGTTTGATTGGCTAACCTTCCTGCCTGTATGCTGTCGTGCCTCCCTTTGCCGTTTTCCCTCTTACTTCATTGTTTTGTCCCCCCCCCCCTGCGAAAAACCCCACCTCTCTCCCACCACTAGAGGGACCTCAAGTTTAGTTGATCTCAAAATGCTTCCTCCTTTTATCTTGTTCTGCCCTGTCCTATTATGAAATCACTTTCTCCAATGTGTTGCCCTTCAAATAGGTTGAGCTATAACTATAAATTATCTCCTAGTTCAATGGCTGGCAGTTATGAAAGCTGAAGTGCAATACATTTGGAAAGGCAGCAAGTTGGAAAAGGCTGTTTAAACACCCCCACCATTGAGAACTACCTGAAATTTTAGGCAGAGTTTTCCAGTCTGAAATCTTGTATATAAGATATTATACTGTATATAAGTACTTGGGCTAAGGTATGGCAATACCTAAGTTGGATTACATAGCATACTAAATCATTGATGTTTCTGTCTTAGCATGATGTGATTTGTAGTAATCACTAATGGTTTAATGACAGTTAAGTTGAAGCCTGATTAAAAAAACATGACAGTCTAATGTGTGAACCTGGATTATAAATTGACCCATAGAAATGAGCAGAGCTTAAATTAATCATAAGAAACTTTCCTATTGATTTCAGAATTTTTCCTTAGTAAGACTAAATCTGAACCATAATTGAAATTATAGCAGATGGTAGAACCAAACTGACTCTGTCTGATTTTGAAAAAGCTAAGTAGAGTTGGGCTTGATTAACAGTTGGATGAGAAACCATGATGGATTAATGCTATGGCGGACCACATCCATAGTGTCGCCAAGAAAAAACAAAGGCATATCCTTGAGTTCATCAAGGGTTAGGGTTTTAGAGGAAGCAATTAATATAATCAAAATTGATTTCCCCAGATGTGCCTCTCTTCAGTTTCCAGAATTCTGATCAGAATGGTTATGGTCATAGTTGAGAAGTTAAAGGTCCACATAGTGGGATACCTAGGTTGGCAAAAGCCGTCTAGAATCAACTTTACATTTCACTTGATTAAACTTTTTGAACTTCAATTTCCCTTTTACTAATAATATTAAACTGGCTCCATTTGTCACAATGTGTAGCATTTTTTTTCCATATTTTTTCTATGTCATTTAATTTCCGAACATTTGAGTTGATTAAGCAAGTGCTTCTGATAAAGCTCGTTCTCCACTAACTTAGTGCCTTCTGAAAACATGTACTAAAGTACCTTTCATCTTTGGGAATCACTCATTTGCTTAATTTGTTCTTTCTACATTTATGTGATTTACCAAATCAGTTTCAGGCTGTAAGCATTAGATTAGGAAGAGTGATTTAATGAGTGGGGGGAATGGAATGATAGAAAATACTAGATAAATTAAAGACAGAGAAAATGTTGAGCAATTTTTGCAGGACTATATTCATTGCTCATTTACCTTTTGGATTATCTAGTGGTTCATTTTCTAGAAGGATTTCTAAAACCCATAACATCCTCAAAACGTGTGGTGTGGTTTTGGGAATGATGCAGAAATAGAAAGGATCATTTATAAAGCACATATCTGTGATCATTTTCTTCACATAAAAAAGCTGTTTTCCCCATAGAAACAAAATTAATTGTCTTCTTTAATCAAAGCAGTCAATTTTGCCATCTCTGCTAACTCCATCAAGTTTTGCAGCCATTGGGGGAATCAAAGTATCCTCCTGTGCATAAACTATTCTTGCTGCCATCAACAGTTCCAATTTTTTAAAGGTCTTTATCCATTAAGTCTAAGAGTATCTAGTTTTATTTTTATATTCACTTTAATAATCTTCTGTACTAAGATGTGAATATCCAATATTTCTTTGCTTTGCCACATGTGCACTTTAAATGGTAAAAAGTTCCTTCTTTATGTTTACGTTTCCAACATTACTTTGAGTTCCCTTTATACATTCTTGATAATTTGTCTAGTGTTAGATACCAACGGTACCATATCTTATAAAATTTTATTTTAAATTATAATTTAATGTGAACTTTAGATCTTTTGTCCACATGTTCTCCCATTGTTCGAGGCATCTTCACAGAGAACCTTACTTTATATTTACTTTATTCTTAAGATGCTATCTCCAACAAAGTGATTATTGAAATCAACATTTATTTTAACCTTGTTGTTGTTAGTTATAAAGTCCTGTTCAACCCATCATGACCCCATGGACAATGTTTCTCCAGGCTTTTCTATCCTCTACCATCCCCTGGAGTCCATTTAAGCTCACGCCTACTGCTTCGGTGACTTCATCCATCGACCTCATTCTCTGTTGTCCCATTCTTCTTTTGCCCTCAGTCGTTCCCAGCATTAGGTTCTTCTCCAGTGAGTCCTTCTTCTCATTAGGTGGCCAAAGTATTTGAGTTTCATCTTCAGGATCTGGCCTTCTAAAGAGCAGTCAGGATTGATCTCTAGGACTGACTGGTTTGATCGCCGTGCAGTCCAAGGCACTCACAGGAGTTTTCTCCAGCATCATAGTTCAAAGGCCTCAATTCTTTGGTGCTCAGCCTTTCTTATGGTCCAGCTTTCACAGCCATACATTGCAACTGGAAAAATCATAGACTTGACTATAGACACTTTGGTTGGCAGGGTGATGTTTCTGTTTTTTAGTATGCTGTCAAGATTTGCCATAGCTTTCCTCCTCAGGACCAATTTTAACCTTATCATAACATAAATACCCATGCCATCCAAATTTTAATCCTTGGCCTTCCAGCTCAAGTAACCTCTTATTTTGAAGAGTCACCCATCCATTAGCCAGATTAAACAACAAGCATCAAAATATAATTTCAAATCTGGTAAACCCAAACCCCCTCTTTCCTTAGCATTTTGCAATAATTTATATCTAATTCTTGGTTTTTCCCCTTGCCATATAGTCTCTTTAATGGATTCCAGGACATATAGAATGTGGGGCTCCAAAGAACTTTTAAAAAGAGGTTTTCTTATGCTAAATCTGATGGACTATAAACAGTTATGCTTATTTTAGCTGGCAATCTGTGTAGCTCAGTATTTCTCAACTTCAGCAAGGTTGAAATGTGTGCACTTCAACTCCCAGAATTCCCCCAGCTAGCAAGTCAACACATTTTAAAATTGCTGAAGTTGAGAAACACTGCTCTAATTTTAAAGGCTTCCCAACCTCCCCCAACCTAATGCCTCTCAGTAATAGGCATTAAAATCCTTCTCTAGGGCAAAGCTTGCATTCGCAGCATCGGATTCTCCTTTCTATACAACATTTGAACAGCTGGTGGTCATACACCAAATCTCTTCCCAAGTACTTTATGTATTTTGACTTCTTTTTAGTGAGGTTTAATTTTTGTTTGTGTTTACTTCTGTGCCATGCCACCCAGTGTCACCTTGCTTGCGTCGATTGGCCTTATAAATGTGTAAAACAAATAATTAAAAGAAATACACAAAATGAATGTGGGAAACGGCCAACATTGCTATGTGATGGATTATTACAAAAGCCTGCAGACATTATCTCATCTGCAGCCATAGGCCAATGTGTGCAGTTAAATGAACGGAGTAACCTCTGGCTCCACCAATCATGTACAGCCTTGTATTAACCATTTATTACATGTTTTCCCTAATGGCAGAGGAAAGACTGGCTAAAATGTACCCGAATATACCACAGGACTATTGGAAATGTAGACAAAATTAGGGAACATATTACCACATGTGGTGGTTATGCCCAAAAAAGAAGACACAGGAATTAGATATTAGCAATGTATATGTAGACATGAAACATGTATAAATGGAAATGATACACAGTGAAGGATTGTAATTTAAGGAATGTATATATTAGTATAGATTCTGTACATACATGCATGTGCAGAAGGAAATGTTGTACACAAGGAAATTGTAAAAAAAAATTCTTTTAAAAAAACTAATACTTAAAAAAAAAAAAAAGACAGATATTTAGCTTGGAAGTCAATGGTTTTCTTTGTGTTGATGAGGGTCTCTTTTTGACGCATATCCCATTTATCTTCTTGCAGTGGAGGGATGGGCAGAAGGACCAGGAGCAGCAACACCGATGCCCCGTTCTAAAAGGGCAGATGTTGGAGATGCATTTCGGTCAGATCTTGACACGATTCCAATTCATGATGAACCCAAACGGAAGGAGAAATCGACTGACACAGAAGAGGATCAGATAAGCGAAGAGTCTCGTGAACTGAGCACCAAAACTACTCAATTCCCATCTGTTGTTGACGAATTTTTTGAAAAGGTTGGGGACGACAAGGGAGCAGGACTCGCTTATATCCCAGCTGATCCAGCTCAGCTAGCATCACAAATGCTAGGTAACGTTGAAACGATGGGTGCTGAACCTGAGTTGAAGGATGTGGCCATCTCTGTGCAGACCCTCCCCACGTTGTCCCACACTGCCAGCGAGGCAATGGCCGCGATTGCAGTTGGTCAACTAGCTGCTCCGGAACCTGCCCCGGCACCTGCCCCAGAACCTGCCCCTGAGCTTGCCCCTGAGCCTGCCCCAGCAGAAGCAGAGCCTGC